AGAGGTAATGCTGGCGGGTGTAAATGAGAAACGAACGAAACATGAGGATGTCACAGCGCAGCAGAGTGGGCGGGCGTGTTTCCATATTTTGTGTAAATATACATACTTATGTATGTACACATATATGTATATGTATCATTCCGTGTTGGCTTTTTGGGATAATATAAAGCTTTTTTTTTTTTGATGACCATGGTAAACAGTTTTTTCAGGACAGGAGAACGATTGTGGCGAAGCACCACTAAGCACCTTTGTGAAGCTAAGAACTTATTGCGTGGTATAAACTGAGAATACATACATATATGCAGGAAGAAACCAGAACTCGCAAAAATGGCTTGCCCTCACTACAACTCAATTCAGAAGCAATCTATTTTGATTTCCTCTTTTGCCAATTAATAAATTTATTTTTAAAATAACTCAGTTTTTTCGCCGCCTCAATATTTACTTGATGCTCCCATGCCACGCAAAATATTACTCATCATCAGTGTTGCCAGATTTTTTTTGTAGCGCACCCCCATATCGAACTTCAGTTAACTCCAAAAAATCCCCATTTGTCTCCTAAATCCCCATTTAAATCCCCTTAAGTATGAAAAAAAAAAAAATGTATTCTTATTTCTATTAGTTCATTTTAATTAGAGCTTTGAATACTTTTCGGTTACAAATTTTCACAGATTTATATGTGTACATATTTATATGATAATTTGGTGATTTATTTTTTATGGTTTTTGAAGACTATTAAATAACATACCTTTGGCCCAAGGTTCCTCTTACCATTGCTGTCTGTAAATTCCTCAAATTAGTATGTTTTTTTGTGCGCTTGCCACTTTGTAAATTTCTTTTTACACTAAATAAAGAACCGACAGCATCGCGCAAGGAAATCAGAAATAAATGTAGTTCATTCGGTGAATGCCAATCACAGCGGTCCTTTTACAATTTGGTGTAATGAAGTGAGAGAAAATTGTTTGTTCAGCAAAAGCCAATCAAAGCAGACATTTGCGCACAATAATGCTTTTACAAAGAAAATCTTTGTTTGAGAAATTTTTAAGGGCAGGCAATAAAATATATGTATTTTAATTTAAATATGAATATTTTAAATCAAATAAAACGAAAAAATCTATCCCCAAATGATTTCAGAAATCCCCAAAATGGGGCGAAATCCCCACATCTGGCACCACTGCTCCTCATAACTGAGCGTTCTGTCGCTTCTGCGCATCTGATCGTGAGGATGGCTCACAAAGAGCTGAGGAGAGTTTAGATTTAGTGAGAACTGAGTATGAGCACACGCACTCTTCTCAACTTGGCAACGCTTTGAATTCTTCTAAGCTTCTAGGCAGTGTTTGGAAGAGTAGATGGGACAATAGACTCGTTGGGTCGCAGCGCATAATCCTGTTTGATATCTAAGTAACTATATATCTATCTATCTAACCGTTCCATATCTTGTTCAATGTATATATAATCCGATACTCGTATTAGTTTCAGGTTTCCCAAACAAACTGTTTATTCATTACCTGGGACTAGATTCTTTAATTGTGAGTTTTAGTGAGTGAATGGTTGTTCGTTTTGCACTCGGTGTACACTATATTTTCTCAAGTTACAGTATCCAGACCCTGGACTCTGTTTGAAAAATTCCTGAGTAAGAGTAGGACTAAGATTAAGATCGAGTTTGAGTTTGAGATTAAGATTACGCAGAAAAATACTTATATAAATTGCAAAGATATTTTTTGTTAAGAGTTGCCACTTGTAAAAAATTGAATTCAAATTATTTATCAAGTTAAATCAATTATTACGATACGCGTATAAATAGAAATGTTTCTGAAAAGGCTTTTCTTATTAACTACAGTAGGAGGGTTGCCACCTGTTTAAAAAATCAAATCCAGTTTAAATTAAGGTAACTGTGATGTATGTCACAATTTGGGTATCAGACTTTAAAAAGGTTTTAGTTTCAAAATATTTTGAATAGGGTTGCCACCTGTTTGAAAATTCCAATTCAATAAAATTTTGCACAAGTTGTATGATATACTAAAATATGGATGTCAAAAGAAAGAATGCTCAGAAATCTTAAGTTTGAATATTTATAATACTTTTGAGGTGTTTGAAGAGGGTTGCCATCGGCTCAAAAACTTAATTTAAATAATTATTTTGATACATTAAAAGATCTACTAAAATATGGGTCAAACGAAATGGTTTTGGAAAAGCTTTATTTTTCAATTATATTTTACGATGGTTGCCACGAATTTGAAATAATCAAATGCAAATTAATTTATCAATTATGATATAGCTAAATAGCTTTAGTTTGAGAATGCTTTTATAAGGGCTGCCACCTATTTGGAAAGTCTATTTGATGTATATATGTATATACATATATAATACGCGAAGGAGTTTATGGGAAGATCATAAGATCTGCACCGTTCGTTTGAATTTTAAAAATTAGTAGACTTCTGCTCACTCCAAAACGTCTGGACGGATTAAGATGAAATTTAGCAAATGGGCCGCTTATAAATCAGACTAATATTTGAAATATTTTTTAGGAGTGTTAAAGTAAATTTTGGGGGTTTAAAGTCATGCGGGTTCACTAGTAATGTAACAATACTGGTAATATATGAAGAAGAAGTTTTACTTCGACTGCGCGTTGGATCTACGCACAGCAAATGGATACATTTTTTCTCGCTACTCTAAATATGGAAATTCTTTACGAGCTTCACATGCTTCCATTTTTTTTTTCATATCGGTGAGATATTGTAAAAATGTCATGGGGATGCCTGATTACAGTTACGCAATAAACACAAACCAATTATGGATATACAGTCACAAAAAGCTCACAAAGAAGACACAAAGTAGGTAGTTCGGGAAGTTGATCATCATTCGTATCACGGTATTTCTTGGTATGCAAGGTACCAAGTCTGGTTCTAATAAAAGCAGAATAATTCGATAGGCCTATTGCGCACCCACCGAACGTTTTATGTTGTGTCTGTGGGAAGATCAGCCCCAAGTATTAAAAAACCTATACCATAATTAAGTTAGCGCCATTTGTGGCTACTGAAGGGCCAACCAGCAAACATGGACAATAATTCATTTGTATTTGTATTTGTATTTTTTTGATGTTTTTTCACAGCACAACAATTTAACAAAATTATTTTACAGTGCCAGTCAAACAATGTATGAAATTTCTTTTTAAAATGCCAGGCTGCTACTACTTCATGTAGATGTAATATTCCGCAAAAAACATATATATATATATGAAATTTTCTGGGACACCCTTCCTATTAACCAAATTGATCGATTTGACCAATTGATATTAATTAAGCAAAACGCACAATTTTAAATAACTAAAATTTTGAATGTAGTTATGTAAACTAAAGTGTTGAAACAGGAAACAAATAATTTTTTTTAAATAAAGGAACGAAAAGTTTAGATGAGTGTAAAACAATGATGAATACAAGTAGAAAAATATTAAATTTACACTTTTTATTTGGTGAGATTTTGTGTGTTTGTGCCAGTTTAACTCGGTACCCCAAATTATGATTTGAAATGTTAATTGTATATTATACAGAGGAAAACTTTCAAATTCTTACGAATAGCAGACAAAAAAGCCAGAATGTGGCACGAAATATGATAAAACATATAGAAAAATGAATATAGAACGATTACGAATATGACAAAAAAAAAAAAGAGAAAACACTTCAAATAAATATTTTATGCTGTTAGTTTTATGTACTTATGTATGCATGAGCATGTAAATATATGCACTAAAGTAATTGGACACAGATATTCGATTGTATAAGTACTACATACAGACAATGCGCATGAAGAAGGAATGAGGAACATAATTAGTAGTAAATACTATGTATATGTATACTTATGTACATAATGCATATGTACCTATGTATGTATGTAGTGCCTCTGCGCCTGGAAGTCAGTGCGTATGAGCAACATACAACTTTTGCTTTTCGCTGAATGGAAAAGGCTAAGCTAACTTATTTGATACTAAAATTTACGCAAAGCCAATTTGTTAAAAATTTGCGGTAGATATCGAGCCCTAACCGCCAAAATAATGCAAGCCACAATTTTTTTTTTTTTCAAAATTTTATTTTTGATGCAGAAATATTCCTAGGACATCTAGATCGGTTAGGGCTTGATATGCTTGTTTTTAGCTTGAATTGCTGCTAAATGAATTTATTTGTTTTTTTACAACATTTTAAGCAACAGACACTAACACACACGCACACGCACTTATGTACTATGTATACATACATACATATATGTACTTATATTACTAAGCCACATACAGATGTTTGAAGAACGAATGCAATAACCAAAAAACGGAAAACTTTTGAAATGATACTGATTACATACATACAAACATGTTTATGAACACATACAAGTAAATACGATGTGAAAGTACATATGTATGTAGTATGTGGTAGTGCATCAAATGAGAAATGATACACCAAAATACATAGATATTTAATTCGAAAGCGCGGGGTGTAAAGTGGCGAACGTGGCGATAAGCAGCACTGAAGTTCAGCTACAACCACGAACTATTTGCATTTCATAAAAGTGTGCCATTGGCTCTACTTGCGTTTGCTACATACATACATACAGACATACATATGCATGTAGGTATGTAGTCATATGACAAGCTTATGCTAAAACACTAAAGAACAGTTCTGTAACTTCTATATGAATTTTGCTTGGTGGCTTGTGTCGTTGGTTTAGTATTTTGTTAAATGAAATATGGCGCGCTGACCATTTAAGTTACCAAAAAATTCGATGTGGCTGTGTGTCTGCATAGCGGCATGTATGTATGTAAGTGTGCATGTGAATGCCTATATCTACATCGATACATACATGTGTGTTGATGTACATAAGTATTTGAGAGGTTAATTGTCTGAATACAAAATAAATTAAGCATCGAATGATGAGAAATGTTAAAAGGCAATTAAAGGCAAATGAAGTAAAACTCAAAATTCTTTTAAAATGTGTATTTGAATTTTTATACATACTTGCACGTCCCACCATTTGGACGGCGCGGACGCCTTTCCTGAACGT